AGATGGGACAGACTACTGTAACTCATTCTATCTCTGCTTGTTCGGGATATGAAAATCTGGCTTGTGTTTTCTTCTGCCTGACGACATGTAAACTTTTGGGGGGGCAAAAGAGGGAGAAGTGGAGGGGAGGGAGGCTACTTTGGAGAAATGGAAGAAGGAGAAGTGATCTCCCTTCTGTTGACAGGCTATCTGTGTAATTAAAGGTCATGGTCCAGGAACAAGTATGTGGAATATGGGCCATTTGCAAGAAGAGTCATATCTTGCAGTGTGAATGCAATGCAGTACTCCAAAATTCTAGTCTACTCTCCAGAAATGACCAATACATAGCAAGGGAGGGCATCTGATATATAGCATTTATTAGGGTATAAACATGAAATAGGTTAAGGAAAAATCTATAGTCATGGGAACATGGCTACAATAGGCAAGAGGACCAATAATGTGAAAAAATCTATGTGAATGAGTATGTCATCCTGGCCCATTTTATTCTGGAGCTGAACAGCACCAAACAGTCTCAATACCCATGGTCAGCACTGTGTTAAAGGGGGATGGATATGTATATTCCACAGTTGTCACTGACATACCTCTGGAAGGGAGAAAAACATCCTCTGGAAGAGAGAGAAAAATATCCTCTCTGTGCAACTAGTATTTCTCTCTCCATCCCAAGTAGCTGTTTTTACCCACTGAGGCCATGTAGGTGCTCACCCAAACCACCAGTTCCAGCCCAGCTCTCCTCCCTTCCCTTTGGGGCACATAGAGGGTCTGGGAGCTGAATTCGTCACCTTTGATATTTACCAGGCCTGAGAAAGGCTAAAAAAAGTGCCAAGGCTCTGTGTAACAGAGTCCTGAATTACATTATGTACTGTGACTAGGAAGAAATGTAAAATAAACAATTTAATTTTATACTGTGCTGTACGTGGCCCACAAATTACAGGAGAAGGAATTACATGAAGAACAATTCATCTCCAAGATTCCAATTATAGGTGTGGGAAGAAAACAATATATTTGTAAGAATTTGAAATGCAGAGCACTTGGCATAGTTTCATTTTAAAATGATAAATATTTTCAGATTGAAATGCAATTAGTAGTGAAAATGTCACATAGTTTTACTATGTATGTTTGTTAATATGGCTGGCATAACTCATTTAGGAGGTTCCTGCAGTGCAGAGTACTGCATTACATATATCTTAACCAAAAATACAGTACTTACACATATATATAAAATGTACATAGAGACAACATTGCCAAACAGCCTTTTGGGACAGTCTAAAAGAATATCATTAATTTTTACTGTATACTTACACTTCTGGCTCAATTCCAGTACTAGCTTTCTGCAAAAAATCATTTCAAGTATAGAATTATGCTATTTGCTTGCAGCAACATCACAGGAACAGTACTGAGCCATATGTTGCTACTTAGCAACTTAGTCTATAAGTCCCAAAGCATGTACTGATTTGAAAATTGAACAGAAATGATAATTGTTGAGGGATGCTGTGAGGCAACTTGTCTTGGATTACCAAGCTATGCAGATGTTTGATGTTATATAGAAAAAGGAACAAAACTATATTTTTCATGTTCAATGCCTGAACCTTTATTTATGTTAGCCTAAAGGGGATAAGTTGATTAAAACCCTTAGAATAATATAAGGTGATGTTTTTCTGAACACTTCTCAGTAAACACAAGGAACTGAAATGGGAAGTTCAGCTTTGAGATCAACTGAAGTATTTTTGGTATCTCAATTTTTTTCTGCACCACACGATATTTCATAGCCCTTAAATTTCTTGAAATGCTGGACTCTAAGGAAAAGTTAGAGAGAAGGCTAAACAAGCAATGCTAACTTTTCAGGGCCAGATCCAGAGGAAGCAACACATCAGCAGGCATTAGCCCCCCAAATCATGCTCTATAGCCATATAATCCTGAAACCCCCTTCCTGGAAACTCTGATGTTCCCTACTATGGCCCAGTCTACCCATCAGCCTTCCAGCTAACTTGGGTCAGACCCTGAAATCTAAAAATGATGCTCAGATCTGACCAAGTCAGCATCTTCACTCTAACTTTTCCTTGGAGAAAACATTTTCTCTCTCTTTTTTTCTTTCAGAATTACTTGTTTTACGCTCAGCAGGAGTGAGTGGAAAATGAACAAGTAGAGGACTACTTGGCCCAGGATCCAGAATATATGGCCTCTTTTTCTCTTCTTCTCCCTCCCCAGTAACGTACATAGTCTTACACACTCTTCCTCTAGGGTGGTGACTCTTGCATTCTTCTTGTACAACAATCCAGCTTCAAGAAGCAGAAGCAGCAGTGCCCAGACAGTAGTCAGTTCATCAATTTTTGGTGACCACTGTTTATATCTGAGATAGGAACACTGGCTTCATTACAGCCAGTAAAGAACTAATCAGCCCTGTCAGTGGAGACCTGCTCACTTTGAAGGAACTGCAGCCATTTACATCAGGAACACCTTGAAAGACTTGTCTTGCAGACCCAGTGCCAGTTATCTAACCAAGAGAGAGGCAGGATTTGCAGCACACCCTCTCTCCTGTATTTCTTTCATTCCTTTGACTGGTAGGTCCACACTAAGGTAGTGGTACAGTTTGGGTATATTTTTTGGTCTTCCTTTTTAAGGACTTATAGGCTTTCATGCGTATTCATGCGTATTCACTTAACAAACCACTGAAATGCTTTAAGGCTTTTCCAGCACCAAGAGAGATGGTGACAATGATGGCAAGGAGGGTGCAGCTTCTCTCAAATTGGCACTCAAAGCTACGAGACCCACATGGCTCCACTTCCTAAGCACCCGGTAAAGTTCTCTGCCTCCATTCAACCAACCCTTTTCTGTGTTTGCTAATGACCCAAAATACTGTGGCTCTCTGTTAAACTAGCTTTCACCATAAGTATCCCCCAGCACTAGAGAGAGAGTTTTGACACCCACATCTGGGTTTTGAATTCCACCCAGGAGCAGGGAGTGAAGAGCTAGACTTCGCCCCAACCAGCTTTTAAATGGGAAGGTTCTTTGCCGGTTCCAGCTCTTTGTAACGGTTTAGAGTTTTCTATCATCTTTGAATTTAGAAATGTCACATTTGATAGATTTTTTCCTTGAAGACAAAATCATTTGCGCTTAAAATATCTAGGCCCAGATCTGTTAAAGGTACTTTAAGCACCTTACATGCATTGAAATCAGTGAGTGCTAGATGCGTAAATATCTCCCAGGATCTGGGTCTTGTTAGCACATATAGAAACCACATAAAAGATTAAAACTTATACTCTTAATTTTTCAATATGCCATTTAAATTATTTAAACTACATGTATACACAGTACAAAAATATCAACAGAAGGAAAAATAATTCTGATGTATAATGTGGATTTGCAATTCTTTATTCAAAACTATTTAAGACAGACATAATGATTCTCTGAAAGGTAGCAGCTGCCTTATAGGAGCAATCATTCACAGAGTTTGTATTTCTACTGTTTCAAACAAATTCAATTAGCCCTTGCTCTTCAAAACCCTTAAGGCATAAATGAGATGATACTAGGCTGCTTTAATCTAATAGTAATACTAAAACTTGTCAGTACAGTTTTTGGATTAATGGTTAGAGAGAAATTAATAATATAATTTTTCATTTTTTAATCAAACAGTTCTATTCTAAACTACCTCTGGAACTGGAGGGTTCTTAGCTGAATAAGTTAAATCACATGCAAATCCTAAATGCAAAGTACAGTTGGTCTCTAAAGGTATTTCAGAATAACTTCATCAGAAGACTAGGACACAACATAGTGGAATATTATTGAAAAGATGGCCTTCCTGATAGAACGATATCCGTCATCTTACATAAACAGTCCTTAAAGGATAAATTCCTTCTTCCCTGCCCTAAACAAACCTGTTATACGCTATACATTATAATTAGGTAGATAATCATGACTATCTAAAAATCTGACTTTATGAAGACATTTAGCTTTGGATGTATTATCAGTTTCCAAAGCTGTTGATTCCTAAATTACATCCAGCTCATCTGCATACAATTACCATGCATGCATGCAAACTCATTTCCCACCTAATGAGAGATCTTCACATAATCCCATTGGTCCTGTCAGGAAGAGGTATGTCAGACTGGCCACTGCTGGGGCTGAGATATTACACTACCTACACCACAAATCTGATCATTTATGGCAATTTCCATGACACAAGATAATCTAATTGACCTGCACTACCATCACTTACTAACATGGAATTGAACTGACTGAAACATGTGAAAGAAATTAAAATTCTTTCTCCGAATACAACTGCAGCTCCACAAATCTCAGTAACATTTTTTTAAAATGCGTATGCTTTTTAAGTCATAAAAAACTGTCAGCCTTAGAAATCTACAGTAATTTAGGGATCAGATAGAAAGAGGAAAGATTTTTGAGTATACATCTAATGTTACAATTTAGTAAATAAGTCTCCCCAAGAAGGGGAAGGACTGGAGAATACCAAGAAAGAAACCACACCACATTAAGCCTTTTGGGCTGCAAGCTACCAAAGACTGAGTCATCACCATAACCCTGCTGCTGCTAATGGTGTAACATTGGCAGGGCTCCTCAGCCATACGATTAGCATTAAAAATGCAACCCTTCAACTACAACTGGCCTAAGAGTGATAATTAAAGCTGCTTGTGACATGTGTAGCTTATAATGATTAACTTGTCTGCAGTCAGATAAACAAATAACCTGCACCTGTAAAGACTTTATTTCCTGAAGGTAAAACAACTGTTTAGGAAAGATCATGCTGGCAAAACAGCTGCTTGCATTCTGGAGAGGAAACATGGTAGTATCTTTTAACAAACGCCAACTCTGGTGTTTTATCAGCTCTATCTCATTAACTGGAAACAAGGCTTAAATGCTTTGTTTATAAATTATGATTATTCTTGATTGCAGCAGTTACTGATAGTGCCACTCATTTGCAATGCAACTCTTTGAATTTGTTTAATTACAATTTGAAACAAGGCAGAGAAGATTAATTAACCCACCTGGCTGGCTGGCACATAGTCCTGGCTCGGCTCTGTCATACTCATATACATGTTCTCACCGTCAAACTGCAAACAAAATAATAGTAAACATTCAGCAAACTTGAATATTTTTCTGCACTGACTGAAAAAAAGAAACAGTTGCTATAAAATAATATTACAGCCTGGTTTTAGAGACTTGTAATTGCGCGTGTGCATCTTGTCTTTGATGTTCCTGTTGTCATCCTTATTGACCCTGGATGTCAGTGATTTGGAGTAATTAGCGCTCTAGTAATTACAGCTAGCAAGCAAGAAATGAATGGTTTCCTTTCATCTGCAATCTGTTTTAAAACAAAATGGCTCATTTTGTGCACCATGTATACATATTGCTGTTGGTTGTAATGAAGTACTAAGTGAATTGCATAGTCGCTGAGGAAAGGGAGATGAGAATGGGAAGAGCACTAAAATGCATCTTAATGGATTCCAACTTTAGCTTTTGAGCAGAAGAGTTGAAATTTCAAAACAAATTAAACTGCCTCCTGTTGAAATGCTCCTGTATCAGAAACTAGGAAATACATTTCCAGGCAGCTTTCAGGCATCTGAACGTATGAAAGAGTATACGTCCTGACCATATTCCGCTAAGAAGAGAGTTTGCTTCATGTGTGAATAAAATAAACACTCGTAATTGAAACTGCAAAAACACCCTTCTGTAAATTATAAATACCAATCCTGTATACAAAGTATACTCTTTCCTCCCCTCACAAACGTCAGAAATAACAGAAATGCAATAGAAGGGAGTTGATTAAAAATCGAAGGTCTACAGGGAGAAAAATTATCAGAATTGAAGTTTCATCATGTATCAACACACATAAAAAAGCTACACAACTACTGCTATCTTATGTAATCTGCAAAACATGCTTACAGAACTTGCGCCATGACCGCTCAAATGGCAGTGCCAACAGAGGAACATGCAGTCCTGGTACCTATTCAGGAGGTAGAGAAAATCGTTTCAAGCCTTTCCAGAAGAATGGA